ATCGAAATGTTTTTGTTGTTATAGTTACATTATAAAATCCAAATTTAAAAAATAGACGCTTGTGTCTAAGCCTTTTTTGCTTATTTTTTTCCTTTTCATATATATATATATATATATATATATATATATATATATATATATATATATATATATATATATATATGAAGAAATATACTCTTAAGGTGTGCTATATTTATGGGATAAAGGTGCTCAATATCAGAGATAGAGCGTATGTAAATAAAAAAGTGAACATTGAAGTCAACACTTAGAGGCGACAGGCTGTTTCATGCTAAACAGCCTGTCGCCTCCAATGTTCACAAATATATATATATATATATATATATATATATATATATATATATATATATATATATATATATATATATATATTATGTATTTAGGTAGCAATCCCTCTTTTAGACATGTTTTGTTAAATACGACTGACAAAGTACTGCGATTAAGTTGTTTATTTAACTTTCCTTGTCTTCGTCCAAGTGTTTTCGTTTCTGGGCACAAAATGTATTTTTTTTTATCTTTTTATTTTTAACTAAATATGTGAGTTTGTCATGTATGTGTCTGAAGTTATAGGAATATAATATTTTTCCAAACACTATTAATGAAAAAGGAAAAAATCAGCAATAAATAACTAACTATGAATACGGACACTATATGCTGAACGTGTTCGGAAAATAATACATACCTATAACTTCAGACACATACATAAAAGAGCACATATTCAGTTAAAAAATAAAATAAATAAAAATGAAAAATATATAAAAATCGAATTTGATAATGGATAAAGAATAGCCGAAAGCGCGCACATGTGTAAGGTTTATAATCCGGAGTTCTTATTAATTATTTTTATTTAAAAAAAAAATGTGCTCAATACAATTCTGCATATCATAAATATTATAAATTTACCTATTTAAAAATATGGTTCCATCGCTAGACAGAAATTACAATGTTTCAAAAACAGAAACTAAAATCTTCAAATTTAATTATAGAATTAAATTAAAATCCCTACTACTGTTTCATTTTCAAGCGAATTTTGGAATAACTTATATTGAACAAAATAAATTATATACATACATACATACACACACACACACATACATATATATATATATATATATATATATATATATATATATATATATATATATATATGAAAACAAAATGACCAAGTTGAATTCAGAGCAGTATGAATTCATCCAGTTCTTATCTTAAATAACAACTTAAAAGAGTCTGTTTGACCAAAATTCATGTTACCCCCCAAAAAAAAACTAATGAAAACTACAAACAAAAGTTCATTTTCTCCATCAAGACATTCATTTCTGTAGTTTATTGCTACCAGCAAGCAGATTTTTTTTCTCCTGATGATGGCCATTTTGGCTGAAACTAGTCGAAGAATCTAAATGAAATATTAATAATAAAAACGAAAGAATATTAATATACAACCCAGTGTGTCTGAAGATTTTAATTTTTTAATATTCTTTATTGTTCCAAACACACACACACACACACACACACATATATATATATATATATATGCAATTCACCCTGCCATAAATTTGGAAACAGCATGATGTACTGCTTGGCATTGGCGCTGGAAGCTCTAATACGATTATTTCAGAGTATTTGGGTGTCAATCTGAGGGCAGTACAGAGGATTCGAAAAGCGTTGGATGAGTCTAATGGTGATTATGAAGGTACGTCAGCTCGGAAAACTCAATTTGATCGTTCTGATAAGAAAAGAACTTCCAAATTTGTTGGTGACGGCCTCGGACTCAACACAGAAGCATACACCAAGGAGGTAATACGGTCCTGTGTTAAGAGGGTGGCTGCTGGAAGATCCTATGTCTTGCAACTGGGGTCTGCACCATGCCACACAAGCAGGAGAACCCAGTCATGGCTGTCAGACAATTTCGGCGACCAGATCACGCTTTTTATCTGGTTACCTGACTCCCCAGACTGCACCCTCTTGATTATTATATATGGGTCGCAGTTGAATGAAAGACCAACAAAACTCCTTCTAACACTAAAGATGAACTGAAGACAACGATTATGGCGGCATTCATCAACTTAAACAAGGAGACTGTCCAGAAGTGTTGCAGGAGATTCTGAAGTCGTCTGGATACTGTGGTTGAAACCAACAGCGATTTTATTAGATAAATTTACTCTTTAATATTTCAAGGTATTTTTGTGTAATTTTGGTAAATATGTCTGTTAAAATGAGATGTCAGTGTTGGTTTCACTTTTGCGTAATTTAGACGACAATTTATACATCGCACCCTTATATATTTATATCTATCTATCTATCTATCTATCTATCTATCTATCTATCTAGATTTATACATATATATGTATACATAAATATATTGCTATTTTGTAGTAATATGGGCATTCGCTCTTATAGTTAAGTGTACATGAATTTATGCTTGTAGGTTTTTTGTATAGCGAAATAGTAAATTTGTTATATATATGTAAACATATATATATATATGTGATTTTATATGTATATGTGACTATATATATATATATATATATATATGTGTGTGTGTGTGTGTGTGTGTGTATGTATATAAATAGACTGACAAGCAGATACATAATACGGTGCTATTGTGAAAGCGTTGTTTACCTTAAGTGCATTAAGATTCGTGCATCTACTCACTTAAGACATTTTGCAATTACGTATTAATTCGAAAGTTAACAAAACGAAATCATTAAATCCAGCAGAGAATTAATTAACTCATCAAAAGGTAGGTTTAATGAGTTAATATAATTAGGAGGAAACAAATTGGAATTCATAAATGAACTTAAGTGAAATCTTCATATTTCACACGATCTCCATCCTCTCCCTGTAGAAAGAAGCTCTCGAAGGCATTTCAACTCAGTTTCACGCTGAAAGGTAAAACGAGATTTCCTTTGTGATTTTGGTCTTCGAGATTTGTCGAGATTTGAAAATGGTCTCCATAATGACTCATCGTTTTTTGTTTTTGTTTTTTCAACCAGGGAGAGGAGAAAGAAAGAGAGAGAGAGAGAGAGAGAGCTAGAGAAAGAAAGAGCTTGAGAAAGAGAGAGCCAGAGAGAGTGGGAGGGAGAAAGAGAGAGAGAGATAAAGAGAAAGAGAGAACGAGAGAGAGAGATTAGATTAGAAGAGAGATGGAGAAAGAGAGAGAGGGAGAAAAAATGAGAGAGCCAGTGAGAGAAAGAGTACAAAAGAAAGTCAGAGAGAGTGGGAGAGAGAAAGAGAAAGAGAGAGAAAGAAATCTAGAGAGAGAAAGAGAACGAGAGAGAGAGAGAGAGAGAGAAACAAAGAGAAAGAAAGACTCAGAGTGAGTGGGAGTGAGAAAGAGAGCGAACGAGAGATAGAAAGAGTTTGAGAGAATGGGAGGAAGAAAGAGAGAGAGAGATAAAGAGAAAGAGGGAACGAGAGAGAGAGAGAGATTGAAAGGGAGATGGAGAAAGAGAGAGCCAGTGAGAGAAAGAGAACAAGAGAAAGTCAGAGAGAGTGGGAGAGAGAGAGAAAAAAATAAATCTAGAGAGAGAAAGAGAGAGAGAGAATCGGAGAAAGTGGGAGGGATATGGAGAAAGAGAGAGAGAAAAAGCTAGAGAGAGTAAGAGAGATTAGGCGAGAATGGGAGGGAGAAAAAAGAGAGAAGAAACAATTTCGAGACGTCCATGATTTTTTAATTTAACTGAAGAATCGATGATTTCAAATCGTTTTTACGATCTTGTATTGCATCCATCTTATTAGAGGAGAACATGATATGTAAATTTCTATATATCAGAACAATGTTAGGTAACTGAATGACAAAGTGGAAAGAAATTCTATGCAACGCGTTTGGTTCTTCGGAGGAAGTCCTTTTAGCTGTCGAAACACGTTACGCAGAATTCTTATCCAACTTACCATTAAATTACTTAATACCCTATTATATATAATAATATATATAATCTTTTTGTCACTTTTTTCGCTTTTGTTTCTTTTTTCGTCAATATTCACACTAAAAAACACTATAAAAATAGGTAAATAAAAGTTTGGGAACGCCGTGAAATGATTACTTTATATATATATATATATATATATATATATATATAATTATTTTAAAATATGATTCAAATCGTTACATAAGGGTCTCATGTTTCAAAACATGTTGAGACCTCTTATGTAGCGATTTGGAATCATATTTTTAAATAAATAATTATATTTATGCTCTACTTTTGTATCGAGCACTATTTTTTAAAAATAATAACTAAAATACTAAGGGACTTTGGATTATTTACCTAACCAGTTCCTTCCTATTTTCTATATATTTTCACATATGTTTTCACACACACACACACACACACACACACAATGAAGAAATATAGCTTTAAGGTGTACTATATTTCTGGGATAAAGTGCTCAATATCAGAGACAGAGCGTATGTAAATGTATATATAAAAGTGAAACTGACTGTCGCCTCTGAGTGTTGACTTCAGTATTCACTTCTTTACTTCTTACTTATTTACTTCTATATTTAATGACGTGTAAAGGCTTTTTTCCCCTCAGAATATAGATTGAAAATATCTCCTCATGGGGGAATCTACAGCATACCTATACAAACGCTGGTAATAGAAATATATATATATATATATATATATATATATATATATATATATATATATATATATATATATATATGAAGAAATATTGTCTTAAGATGTGCTATATTTATGGGATAAAGTGCTCAATATTAGGGATAGAGCGTGTGTAAATATAAAAGTGAACATACAAGTCAACACTTAGAGGCGACAGTCTGTTTCATGTTTCTGCTAGATGCATGGCCTGACGATTGCATCTAGCATGAAACAGACTGTCGCCTCTAAGTGTTGACTTATATGTTCACTTTTATATTTATACATACACACACACACACACACACACATATATATATATATATATATATATATATATATATATATATATATATATATATATATGTAGATCAAAACAGATCCTTTAAGGTTCCATGTAATAAATTATTTCACCACAGCCCTTTTAAAGGGCTCTGGATCATCAGACTTTACTTCCAAAGGTTGAAATGAAAAATGAAAAGAAATTTACACATTTTTGACGGGCCGTATTAAGCATATGTAAATTAACGAAGTGAGGAAGTGAGTGGGGAGAGAAGACATGAGTGAGTTAGATGTACCATTTCAATTCTTTATCCCTAAGCCCCACTTGGTGTGGGCCAGACATCGCTTAACTTAACGTATGTTATCTCTAGATATGGATGGGTAAGGGGTGAAGAAGAAAACCGACATAAAAGGAAGAGGATACAATAACATAAATAATGATCATGAGAGAAATATATATATTCCGTTGTGATGGCGATGGTTTTACAAAGATGCGCGAACGCGCTCTGGTATATTTATTTCAGAATTTAAGAGATTTGTCGGATAGAAATTCTATTGCACAGCATCTAAATGTACCTTCCTGTCCGCCTTCACAATACGGCAAAATACTTGTTGGCAACACCTATATACGACACCATGAAAATAATAAACAAAAACTTCAAATTCTCGAGATCCTCTATATCAAAATTAATCAAACAACACTCAACAAAATTTATAACGAATATAGCAACAACATATTAAAGTGCATATAACATTAATATATTAATACCATTTTACATTTCTACCAATTTCCGGTCAGCTCCCTTATATTAAATCGCTTGTTTTGCATAAAAAAATTCCATAGCTACAACGGATAAATTTAAAATTCTAAAACGATTATAGCAGAGCGCACTTTTACGAGTTTTTTTTTTTAAATTCCCCACCACGACGGAATGTAGATTTTATGGTAGTTACAATAACTTAGTCTTTTTAATTTACCTCTGAAGATAATCTTAGAAAAGGTCGAAAGTACTTGGTATTAATAAAAATTACCACGCCTTTCTTGACGAATTTCATCTTAACATCAAAAAACTGATTAGACAACTGGAAAGGGTCAGACTAAACATAAGTAGACCCAATATGTCTATATTATATGATAAAACGCGCGTGCACGCACCCCACATACACACTCACACACACACATACCTTTGTGGTGTCCTCCTCTTAAGAGTCTATGTTAGACTCTTCCGCCTGCTATAAGTTTAGTAGGAGAGAAGGTTCGGGAAACAGTGGACAGTGAACAGTGAATAGATCGAGTGCTAGTTCATTCGATACACTCTTTCTTGTTCTGATGTATTTACTTGGTCATAACATCTTGGCGACGAGGATGAGATTCGAACTCACGCGGTGAGAGCCCAATGGATTAGAATTCCTTTCTTCCCTCTGTTGTAGACACTGGCAAAAAAAAAAAAAAATGATTTAACGTGAAGTCAGTTTCTTCGAATTCTTAACAGCCTTATACCACTTCCAATATTGAAGTCGAACTCCTCTTATTTACTAGAATTAAAAACAATTGTAATTTCTTCATAATTTTTTAAAAAACTTCCGTGACGATAACCTGAACACTACGTGAATATCTATCTGTTTATAATAGTAAGTTTCAGTTTCATGCCTTCGATGTGCCAAGTCAGTGTTAAATTCTCAAAACCTCCTTTCTAAAGTTTCTAGAATTTCAAAGAGAGCGAAAGAGAGAATAAAAAGAAAAATTGGTAATTTTTAATGAAATAATTGCCTTCGCTTTGACATATGAGTGTCTAGTTCTCGGAACCTTCTTTCATCACTATTTGTTCCTAGAATTTCGAAAGAGAGAATTAAAAGAAAAATTGGTAATTTTTAATGAAATAATTGCCTTCGCTTTGACATATGAGTGTCTAGTTCTCGGAACCTTCTTTCATCACGATTTGTTCCTAGAATTTCGAAAGAGAGAATTAAAAGAAAAATTGGTAATTTTTAATGAAATAATTGCCTTCGCTTTGACATATGAGTGTCTAGTTCTCGGAACCTTCTTTCATCACTATTTGTTCCTAGAATTTCGAAAGAGAGAATTAAAAGAAAAATTGGTAATTTTTAATGAAATAATTGCCTTCGCTTTGACATATGAGTGTCTAGTTCTCGGAACCTTCTTTCCTCATTATGTGTCGCTAAAATTTCAAGGAAAGGTAAAGAGAGAATTACAAGAAAATATATTAATTTTCTTCATTAAAATTAAAATAAGAAATTGTTTTTGATTTGCCACGAATGTGTTAAGTTATCAAATCCTTCTTTCCTCATTAAATTTTAAATGTCACAAAAAATTCATAGAGATCAGAAAAAAAAAATTTAAAAAAGAACTTTTTCATTAAAAATATTGCCTTTTATGTGCTATGTGAGTGCCAAATTCTTTCCTCGTTCTATGTGACTAAAACTGTCAAAGAGAGAGAGGGGGGAAAGAGAGAGGGAGGGGGAGAGAGAGGGGAGAGGGAAAGAGAGGGAGAGAGAGGGGAGAGAGAGTGAGAGAGAAGGAGAGAGAGAGAGAGGAAGGGAGAGAGAGAGAGAGAGAGAGAGAGAGAGAGAGAGAGAGTAGCTGAGATTTAGTACAACCCATGGCCAAGTGGGAGTGTAGAGTTCTTGTTACACCAATCGTTCATATGAAGATAACATATCAGCCTTGAAAGATCATCATATGAAATCCTGTCTTTTTACCGAAGCTCGAACACCGACCTCTGACGTTGTGGCGAAAAGGACTTGCAAAGATCTGATGCACAAATTAAGTCCCGATGCAAGCCTCCTTTTACCAAACACATTTAATATATTTACTGCCACATGACAAGTTCTGTAGGAAAACAAAATCCATGCTTCTGTTACAAATTGCCTCTGACGCATGTGGGCGTCCTTCATAGAAGGCACTCATAAAAAAACAGCCATGACGCAGAGAAAAAAACAAACAAACAAAAACAATCGAAGCCAGTACGAAGGAACTTCTATAATGCAATACTATTAAAAGATCTTAAAATAGAGTTATTGCCCTTTATCTGAATACCCATAATTCCCTTAATCAATGTTATCCATGTTGTAAACAAAGCCAGTATTTTACCCACTCTCAAACATGTCGGAAATTTAAATATCAGGGAAGTTTTTTTTAACAGAGGATAGAGAATGTGACATTGAAGGAGTATTGGGATGACCAAAGATGCCTTCAAAAAGCTAAGCAGTGTATTAAGAAATAGAAAAACTTCGCAAGATACAAGGAAAAGAGTATTAAACTGCTACGCGATATCTGTCGTTCTTTGTGGCAGTGAATGCTGGATAATCCCTTGAAAGAGGAAGAAGAGTCTTGAAGCAACAGAAATGTGGTTTTACGGAAGAATGCTGAGGATACCATGAACCGAGCATATGAGCAACTACAAAGTTTTAGTGAATTTCTTTTAAGCATTTGACCCCAAGCAAGGCGGGGGTTGCACTAACTACGCAAGGGGTTACAGAGAGCGAGAACAAGAGAAAGAGGAAAGGATATAGAGAAGGAAGGCTTCTAGATATCCATTGACATTTTATTGGAATATTTGAAAATTATAGCCATCAGAGAAGCAAGTAAAAGGAAGGGAGTTCCACTGTCGGGAAGTGCTAGAGAAGAAGCAGTTGGAGGAGAAGAGACTGTTACATTTAACCGTTTCGACAGAGAAAGTGTGGGACCGAAATGCCAATCTAGTAGCTCGCTTAAATTCATGCAGTGAAAGTAGACCTTCAGGAGCAGTTGCCATGAAAATATTTGTAGAAAAGACAGAGGGAAGCCACAGCACATCTGTGAGAAAGTGACTGTAGACGAGATGCCAGGTCAGGACCTATCACACTGCATATCCATTTCTGGATTTTGTCGAGAACCTCAAGATGAATAGCAAGGGCACCAGACCATATATGTTAACAGTATCCAATTCAAGGACTCTGTTCGGGTGGTTTTGAGAAACTTTGAACCACCTCTTAATTGCTGCTGTTCCCAGGTTCACCTTGACCCAGGGTGGTAGCAACTGGACATGATCCCATAGGGTCTGGTGCACTATTTATCTCTGTTCATGAGAAGAAGTGTCGTGGGAGCGTAAAGTTTTTTGGTTTTTTTTTTTAAGTTTCCTGGATGAGTCAGTCAATCGGAGACTGTCTCAGCGGACTTAGTTAACTGACTCTAAAGTACATTATTTACATTATTCAAACTATTGTCCTCATCTTTGTCGCCATATTTATCACAACGTTTCGGCCGTTGTACGCTCCGGCTTTCTTCAGGTGGTTGGAATTTCTCAAGGACACATGGCACAGTGGATAAAGGCGTTGGTTAGATCCAGTGACAGGACCCAAAGTGTGAGTTCAATACTCGGTTAAGGCAGTGGAGAACTTTCAGCGGGAAATTAGCAGGAGATAACTGATAACTGACATCCATCAAACATGGCACGTGGAATTAGAACAGTCTACCCCAGTGAGCTAAATAAAGGGTTCAGTTCGAGATTCTAACCACCTGAAGAAGGCCGGAGCGTACAACGGCCGAAACGTTGTGATAAATATGGCGACAAAGATGAGGACAATAGTCCGAATAATGTAAATAATGTACATAATACCTCATCTCAGAAATAGAGCCAGGCATTCTGTTTTATGTGGTCTTTGTTCACAATGCCTGTGGGATTAGATTTGATTGTTCTGTCCGTGTAAAATTGTTACAGGTTTATAGCTCCATAACCGGTTCTGGGTAATGTTCATACCAATTTCTTGCAGTTTCCCTTCCTGTAAATGTTGCATATTTTCCTGTATATAAGCCCATCCTATAATGTCGAGTTTTATATTCTTTGGGTGCTAACCCCGTGCAATCTGATACAAGATGGTCGACTGTTTCTGGATATTTATCACAGAATCTGCATTTCGGGTTAACACAATTTATCAGTAAGTGTGCTTGGGAATTACTAGTTAGTTGGTCCTGTGTAGCAAGAATAAAACCTTCAGTTCCAGGTTTTAGCCCTGTACTACTTAACCACTGATGGGTATTGGGTTTATCTATACAATATTGTTTGGTGCGGGTAGAGTATTGACTATGAAGAGGTGTATCTTACCATCGTTTCTGTATTTGGTCTATTGAATTTGTTTTTGCTTTCTTTTCTTTGGGTTCTTTTGCCGCTACCGTAGACGTATTATGGTTTATTTGCACTTTTTCACACACTTGAAATTCCCTTTTGAATTTGTTGTCTTTCTGTATTACTCAATAAAGTTTCTTCTTCTTCTTCTTCTTCTTCTTCTTTTTCTTCTTCTTCTTCTTCTTCTTCTTCTTCTTCTTCTTATTATCATTATTATTATTAGTAGTAGTATTAATAATAGTAGTAATAATGGCGGAATACATTTACAAGCGGAGGATAGTTTGGAATTATCTACGTACTAGGAACTTTCGCTCCGGAAATGCTCTAGTTACACAAGGATGACAGTCAAATGTTGTTATCTATTGACAAAGAATCGCGCTGGTGCCTGGGGCCCAAAGCTACAATGAAATAACATTACGAAACAGTTACAAGCCCGACGACTAATATTATTATAAAACGGAAACGGAAGTCTATAAATAAATAGACAAATAAATAAATCAGAGAAATGTCACTGTGGGTTCGAGCAATTTTCTCTTCTCCACTTCTGAACATTTTCCAACTCTGACAACACACAGAAAATCCGATAATGGCAGAGTGAAGACGTAATTATTCTAATGGTCTTGCCTATTACGCTCAAATACAATATCTGCCCGTGTCACACCCATTCTTTTTCTGCTCTGTTAATTCCTTCCTTCTCTTCTTTGATTTTTGCTTCACCTCGCCATTTCGTCAATCGTGTGTCGTGCGTGTGACCGTTCGTACCTCTCGGCGTTACTCTGCCGTACGCAGGAGAATTAAATAAAAGGTTACGTTTCCGTATACGGATTCTCTGCTTGCTACCGTCCGCCATTTTGTCTCATTTTTTCTTTTCTTTTTTTTTTTTCATTTCTTCCTGGCTTTCACACCTTTTTTTTTGTTTGCTCTCAACATTTTTTCATTGCTTGCTGTTTTTTTTTTTAATTCTTTTTTTGACGTTTTTAAAAATATATTTTTCTGACTATCGTTTGTTCTTAACGACAAAGTCGTAAATTAGTGGTTTACATAACCAAATCAAGTTACCCCCACTACCCCTTAAGTGTTGGAAAAGGTACGCCAAAATAAACAAGAAAAATAGATAGAATCAAACTAATGAAAGAAATAAAACAGTGATGTCAAGAAAATAAATTAATGAGTGGATGAATGTGGGGCTGTCTGTGTAGTAAGAAAAGACAGGGTTAAAAAAATATATATATAGCGCGTAAAACAAACGTATACAGCAGGTCGGAACAAAGATGGTTCGCTTTTTTAATTTAGTTTTTAACTGTGTTTAGATATTTTTTTTTGTTCAGGCTTTATGCGCCAGGCAATATATTTGCTTTAATCGAAAAAAAAAAAAAAAAAGAAAAGGAAGAAGAAAAAAAACCAAAGTAAGAAGGACAAATAAAAAATTGAAAAAAAAAAAAAAAAAAAATGAAGCGAAAAATTTGTTCTTGATTGTTGTCAATTATAAAGTTGAAAATTCATAATACAAAATGGCGGAAGAAACGGCTCAGCAAAAAACAATAATACTTAAAAAGCAAATACATTACTTGTTTGTCAGGACATCTTGAGACAAGGATTGAAAAAAATAGGTTCGGATATTTCAAAATGTTAGATAATTGAAGATCTATATTATCGAAAAAGAGTGAAAAATAAAGACATTTTCCAAAGGAAATTTAACATTTACATCATCAAATAACATTTTCAAACGCCCTGTTCAAATTTATCTCTAGTTTATTTTTAATCAAAACAATCGTCGGTTGGTTGATTTTGTTTAGAGACATATCAACCTCTCTAGATTATAAATGACGAAATATAATTTTTATGTAGGTAATTTTTTGCTTTCAACTACAGATATTTTGTACATAATTTTAAACTTTCATGGTAAGGTATATATTTCTTTAGATATATAGTTTGTAGGTCACGAGATGTACTGTTGGTAATTTTATTATAAAAATCCATTTTTATACTTTTTAGTGTTACATTGATTGCCATTTTTCTATGAAAATGTATTGTTGCTCGTTTTATTATAAAAAAAAATGTACTGTTGATTTTTGTTTGGGAGTTTACTATGTGCCCATAGCTGGGACCCTAACAGGTGCTACCACCCCGAGAACAGCAGTAATTAAGATGTAGTTCCACGCTTCTCAACACCGCCAATCTCCAGATCAGAGGCTGTGCTGCCGGATGTAGTTTATCGTCATACCCAGGATGACAAAAACCAATATCGGCAGTTTCTGTCTTTTTCTGGCTACGCGCCAGGCAGGCAAAAAGACAGTCCATTTCCCATTTTATTTCCCATTGACGCGTGGTTAACGTGTGTCACGCACACCGGTCAGTTTCGTAAGCTATAATCTCTGGCCTGACCAAGCTGTGATAATTCAAATGTAAGTTCTTTGTATGGAAACAACAGGAATGTTAACCAGAATTAATCAGCATTTTTGTCGAATTATACTTA